TTATCACAGAACGTGATGTAAAAATGAGCCAGATATTATTATACAAGGTGATGTACAAATGAGCCAGATATTATTATACAAGGTGATGTACAAATCAGCCAGATATTATCACAGAACGTGATGTAAAAATGAGCCAGATATTATCACAGAACGTGATGTAAAAATGAGCCAGATATTATTATACAAGGTGATGTACAAATCAGCCAGATATTATCACACAAATGTTCAGCTGTTAAGGAGCCACCTGGGTAAATGTGCAGCTATACTGAGCTACCATTGAATGATCTGAAGTGCAAGATACCGTTGGAGAAAGAACCATTCTATAGATATAAAAACAAGAACCAAACAGGAGAGCTGTACAAATCAAAGACACAATGAAGACAAGCTTCCAAATGGATAAGTAGAAAAATACAAACGCATTCAGTAGAGACACTCATCACTTAACAACCTACCTGTTTAATGACGCGCAGACTTAAGACCAGCTCTCCCACCAGGCGGTATTACACGCTGTAGGAGAACTTGATCGAGGAGATAACAGGGCAGAGTCTCAGCGTCAAGCATCTCAGCTCACATCAACCTTTCTCCGTCTTAGTGTCGTTCCCGCAGTCGCTCAGTATTCACTACACTAGTATTCCCAATCACAAAGACTACATATTTCATCTATAAATCTGTATTGTCTGTGATTTGACCTGCATAATCAGAGTATCAGTGGTGAGGTGGCAAGATGTAGACAGCAGCAGAAAATTTTGTTGACCTTTTTGAGGAAATCATCGAGATATGCAAATTAAAACAAAGTTATCAAGTTGGACTTTCCTTTAGACCTTTTGTTTATTCAGAGTAAATAAAAATAATTACCTGTATTTACAGTATGCAAACCTCAGCAATGTGTAGAGCTAATTTCCTCTATTCTTTTTATTACAGTATACAGTACACTACAGCATTAACATTTCTAAATATGTACTAAAAGTGTTAGAAATGGTGCCAAGGTGACATATCTAAACAATATCTAAAGATGGCTGACAGAAAACCCACCACCAGTACAGTATGCCTGAAACATTGATAAGGGGCAGCTTCTCGCTTATCGACCAATCCGTTGACCTAGTCATAGGAACGGAACTCGGTCGTTAAGTGAGGAGTGTCTGTACAGGCATGAGACCATAATCAAGGCAAAAGCAGATTAAGACAGAGCACAGATCATTGGTTGTAGGACTTAATCTACCACTCAACAACAGAAAAACTCTCACCTACCACAGCGTAAGCTGTTTGGCTATTTAATGCAAGATGGTGTTTGTTTTGAGTCATTTTTGAGTCATTTTTGGTTTTTAAATAGATTTCTGTTCATGTCTCCTGTTTCTGCTTGAATTACACAAACCTCAGGCTCACATGTGCACAGTACAGTAACAGTAAAAAGTCTGGACACACCTGCTTTTAATGCATCTTTGTTATATTATTCACTTTATAGTAAATAGCCTCTAGGCAATGAAGCAATACATATCAATCCAGCACATCGATCCAGCTCTATAGGGCTTATGGTCAGGGGATTGTGGGGCCCAGGTCATCTGTCACAGCACTCCATCTCATTTCTTGCTCACAAGATAATCCAGAACTTCCAAAGCCTTTAGATCTTGCCTGTCAATAGGTGTCCAGACTTTTTAGTGGCACTGCACCTGTCCCTCTATTTTAATGCATTTCTCTGCAATGTCACAGCTGAGTCTTCTCTCTCAGGCTTTTAATCTCTTTTTCTACAGATGATCCAGGTGTTAAGATCAGCATTGCAGTATCAATTCCTGCATTGATTGTACTGGGTTTGATGTACTGGAATTGTGCTAGGTAACCGGCTTTAAACTAGCTTCTAATCACATTCATAGCCTGTTGATAAGGGCAGAATAACCTCATAAGAGGCTCAGCACCTGTACTTTGAGACTCCAGGTCTCTGGGTTAAATCCAGTCAGAATCCAAGAGTTCTTTCAGGGTTACTGTGGGTTTCCGCTTGCAATCCAGTGTTTCCCAATCCGGTCCTCGGGGTCCCCCAGACAGTCCACGTTTTTGCTCCCTCCCTGTTCCCTGGCAGACAGTCCACATTTTTGCTCCCTCCCTGCTCCCTGCCAGACAGTCCATGTTTTTGCTCCCTCCCTGCTCCCTGCCAGACAGTCCACGTTTTTGCTCCCTCCCTGCTCCCTGCCACACAGTCCACATTTTTGCTCCCTCCCCTTTGCACCATACCAGACTGTCTATGGTTCCCCAAGGACTGGCTTGGGAAACACTGGTCCAAGTGATTCAGTGACTCATATTCTCATAGTTTATTTGATCATAACATAACATGGGCTCTGCCCATGACCTGATAAACAGATAAAAAATATGAATGAATAAGATAAGGATAACCTTATGCAATGACTTGTGTCATAACCACAAACATATTCTAAACTATTCTAGCCTTAAGCACAAAGTTAAAATCTCTTTTGCTCTACCTTTCATTTTCTGTTTGGTGTAGTCCACCTCTTAAACTTTAAATCTTTTTTTACAGGATTAAAAAAACATGCATAAGTTTGGCACCTCAGTGGCTGTTCGCAACATTTCCCAGAGTTGAAAACAGCAGTGTGACTATGTTACTGCAGGTAATGAAACATTCACACAGAATAATGTTTCATACCCACACACATGCACAAACACACAATAATATGCAAAAGTTTTAGGCAGTCAAAGACAATGATGCTTATATGATCTTCATGTTGGTGCAAATCTATGATGTCTGTCAAAATGTGTCAGCTTAGCCATTTCGAAATCTCTCCAAAACATGACTGCCTAATATACAGTACCGTGTGTATATATGTTTGTATACTCACAAATATGGTATATTTAAATTTATATTGCATTTATTGTGTTTTATTGTGTTGTGGATGTAATATATTTGTTTATTGTATTTGAATTTATGTGCAGCAGGACAGGAGGCCGAAGGGAAACGACATTTCAATGCACTGTGTACTTTTACATGCATATGTTGATGGTGAAAGTACTATTTCGTGAAATGACAGGGCTAACTAATTCCTCATCCTGTCTGTCATGATTTAAACCACAGGAGAGGGAGAGAAGTGATTCCAGTTTTACCTGGCAATCAATATACAGGGATCCCCCCCTTACTTCCGTAGAGGAAATGCCAGCAGTGGAGGACCCCACCCCGGACGAAGGGGCAGTACGGACCAACCCACTTCTGGAAGAGGACTCTGGATATAAGCCCCAGATCTCGCCACTGGCTCCAGAAGAGTTCTTGGACGAGGAGGACAGCCTCAGCCAGGAAGGTGCGGCCTGTGGCCTGGAGGGGTCTGAGTTCTTGAGACGCTGGCCCTGGGACGTTGATCCAGATAAATGCGGGCCGGGACCGGGCACCTGCATCAGGCCGATATACAAGCTGCAGGTTAATAGGGCCCAGAGGGACCGTGAGGAAGGGTACCAGGACCAAACGCTGCTGCCGGACGACTTGGTCAGCTGTCTGATTGGGCTGTCCCTAGAGCCAGGGCAGGACCCCATGTACGTCTCACAGAAGGATCTGAGGTCACATAACAGTGCATCATCATCCAGACCCGACAGCGAGAGACCTGGAAAAAGTGGGCAGATTTTGCACCAGGACTGAAAATGATTTAAATGTGCAATTTTGTCCATTGTTTTTTTTAGCATTACTTATATTTCAAACGAGATACAACAATATATATACATGATATATCAGGTAATCCACAGCTTTGGACTCGATGATGGAACATCAAACATTGTTTATGGGTCCGATTCTCATCTTTCATCTACTTTTCTTTGTACTTTTTCTCCTAATCAGAGGAATTGGAGAAGAGCTGGTATGTTTTTGATTTTGTTATAACGCTGTGTGGCCACACACCAGGAGGACTGTAGAGTCTGGAGGGCACTGGGATAAAGGAGGTCAGCTGACAGGAAAGACGAACCAACAGGGAGCGACCAAAGCCACCAAACTCTCTGGCAGGACCTTCCCTAACTTCCTCCAGGATTATTTCATGGGTGAAAAAAACCAACAGGACCACTGATATCTGTTTTTACATACTGTACTGACCAGGGGTCTCAAACACAGATCACCTGGGGGCCATCGGCTAGGATCTCTGTAGCTGTTTTTTGCTGAAAGAAAAATGAGAAACAAAAAAATGATAGAAGCATAATCCGCTAAACAGCTGGCGGCAAAAACTGCTGACTGGGGTTGGGGGGCTGGCGGGTGGAATTTGCTGAACTTAGTGCTGGCAAATTTTACTATCGCTAATTAGCGAAATGACCGTCAGTAAGTCAGATATAATTGTGTGAAGCACACATGGTCCACCGGTACTCTGATCCCCTGCTAAGACCTTCATTACCTCCATTAACGTTGTGATTGCTTGTGAGATGTAGTACTTCACAAGGGTGAATTTTAGCACTTTTTAAAGACAATAGCAAGAAGCACTAAATTTCTGAAAAGGAAACTATTATTTTTCCTGTTTTTCTAACTCAGTGACCTCGGGCAGCAGAAGACTTTTATTCGGTGGCGGTGAGTTAATTGTGAAAACTGTCCCCGAAAAATCTGTGATAACACTAGAATCTTAATGCTGTGCATTCCTTTGTCTAACAGCCCATTCAAACTTTCATCCATCCACCCATTTTCTTTGTAAGCCTATCCCAAAGGCTACGGGTGCAATGCAGGGAACAACCCAGGATGGGGGGCCAACCCACTGCAGGGCCAATTCAAATCTGATTTAGTTAAAAAAAAAAAATGGAACCTTGGAATAGAGGATGAAGTCCATGCATCAAAAGCCAGATCCATTTTCCATAACCACTTGAGGCTGAAGCTAATCTGAGGAGCATGGCACAGATTGGGGTACATCCTGAAAGAGACAATCACCGGGCAAACATAACAGACAATACAGAGGCACCATGTGTCAAATACCCTGAGTGTTAAACTGAGGGAGAAAAGACATCCAAACATGCGAAGAACATGCACTCTTCCCCCACACAGTGGTGTGACATCACAGTGCTATCCCAGAGTTATCATCTCGATCATCCAAGAACATGCATCATTATCAGTGGTGTAGTACCTGTTTGTATCCTGCCTCCCTTCTGTGTGTGGGACGTGGTTCCCCTCCAAGTAGTGATCCCAGTGGAGAGTGCTCGAGACTAGATGTGTAAGAGTTCCTACACTGCACAATAAACTTCAGATGGTTTTATTAGGCTTCATCATGATCAGAGGCATCTTGGGATCTTGCAGGGACGGCTTCCGTGTAAATGAAGATCCTTGGTGACCTTATATATGGGCTTCCTTCAGGCACTCCAGTTTACTCCTGCAGTCCAAAAACATGTGGTAATTGCTCAAGGTGCGTGAGTGCAGTGTGTGTTCCCGGCACTGCACTGGCATCTCCCACAGCGAGTCCCCTGCCTCATGTCTTTTGCCTCCTTGGGATAAGCTCCAGAATTTATTAAAGTCCTTTTATGAATTACTTTGGCAAATTTTGTGGGCAGCAGCAGTTTTGGTTCACACTCCTGCCTGCCTGATAAGTATGGGAACCATTAAATAAACATCCATCTTCCAGATGGTTTACTCAGAGTCATTGCAAGACTGGAACCTTTTCCAGGAAATAGAGGGTGCGTGCCAGTCTGCACTGTGGACAAGATGCCAGTCTATAACAGAACACGCGCCGTAGGCAATTCATGCATTCCAGTTGGAAGTGACCCACACAGACTCCACACGCTGGGCAGAGCTCGGAGGTGAACTGCCATCCCTGAAGGCAACAGCACCACTGGGCCACAGTCCTACAGATAAACAACCCATTAATGTTACGCCATATAACACTGAGGCAGCTGTGTGAATGAAGAACATTGTAAACCTTAACACAGAACCACTTTCATTTTCGGTTACTCACATTAAATAGTACTGATCTCAGTGCTGCACTTTTTCACAATGGGTATTCTGAATATCACGCTGACAAGCATCGTTATGTTCACTTGGCAGATGCTTTTATGAACAGCAATGTCGAATATGTCCCATTTATGCAGTTTACTTTATTGGTATTGATCTTCACCTGCGGCCTCACAGTCCAAAAACATGCTAAGGTGAACTGGAGTTACCAAATTGACCATATTGCTGTGAATGGTGTGTGTGTGTGCGAGCGGGTTTACCTATCCTTATGGGGACATAATGTCCCCATAACGTGATAAATATCCGTTTTTTTCCCTTATGGGGACCGGTTTCCTGGTCCCCATAAGGGAAAACTCTATTTTACAAAAATCGATGACTGCTATGAAAAAACTAAAAATGCAAAAAAACTTGTATTTTGTTAGGTTACTTATGGTTATGGTTAGGGCAGGGTAGGGGTTAAGGTTGTCATAGTTAGCATTAGAATTTTTCCCATGAAAAATCAGTGGTCCCCATAAGGATATGTTTACCCTACATGTGCGTGTGTGTGTATGTGTGTGTGCCTGGCAGTGGGTTGGCGCCCCATCCTGGGTTGTTCCCTGCCTTGTGCCCATAGCTTCTGGGATAGGCTTGAGACCCTGTGACCCTGCATAGGAGATGAGGGTATAGAAGATGGATGGATGGATGGATGGATGGATGGATGGATGGATGGATGGATGGATGGATGGATAGATAGATAGATAGATAGATAGATAGATAGATAGATTGATCGATCTTCACCGGTACTTATCAGTTTTAGCACCTTGCCTGCGGGAGTATGAGCAGATTGTCCTACATAGACCAAAAACACTTGGGTTGCATTTCCTTAATGCCTGCTGCAGGAATATGGGCTGCCCCCCCCCCCAAAAAAAACACAAATAAACCAAAAATGGACATCATTCTTCCATCATTCCTATCCAAGAGTTCGGAAGTCTGGAAGTGGATGCTGTCTTTTATAGAATAGTTCAATTTGTGCAGGAAGGTTGCTGATGTGGTTGGTGTACTGAAAACCACACTACAGTAAAAACTACCCTTTTTTCCTATTAAAAACTTGAAATCACACACAGTCATTTCACAATGCCATTCATTTCCCCATAGCCCGTCATTTCCCTCAACCACCACAAAGATAGTCATTTAGATAATTAAAGGTGCACATAAAGACATGTATACAGGCACATTGCAAAGGCAGATATAACTGAAATATACATAAACATAACATAACATAAAGCTATGCCTTTCTTCAATTTCATACTGATTGAAATAAAAAAAGAGGGTATCTGAAAATGTAAACACAAGAAATTTCTCTTTTTCAGTACTATAAAAAAACAATTACTTATCAGAAAATCTAAACCAGATTTCAGTACAACAGTAAACATCACTACTAGGCTTGTTTTTCAACTAGTCTGGGGGTTGTACATGAAATACTTCATGGAGGTGTTAAGAAGAGGTGAGCGTGAACCACTGCGCAACACTGCCCATGCACTGTGTGGTTTTCTTATATAGATTCAGTGTGTTGTTTGCAGAATTTGGATTGTTTAATAATAATGAAAGAAACATCGCTGTGTTTTTCTTCTTTCTATAGTTTTGAAACATTAATCTATGGTATTTTGTCATTTGAGCAAACAAATAGCGGATGAATCTAGCATTACTCGTTGTGAATATTTTTCTTCAGGTCTGTTGAATAAAAGTAACAGAAGAACAAATCCAGAAACCGGTGTTTAAGCTGAGGAAAAACAACTCTGAAAGCCATACAATTCATAGTGATGAGATGCAGCTAAAAATATATTTGCTTAGTTTTATTGTGTCTGGAAATGAATGGCAGGTTTCATTTAATTGATGATGTCACGCTGCTCCTGCACAAAGGCGCGGTGACGTTTGTTTCCATTTTGTTAACTAATTTAGTTTAGTCAGTGACCTCTGTCAGGAAAGGGTAGTTCCGTTAAAAAGTGTGGTTACTATGGAACATGTGGGATTCAACAGAATTTTAAAGAACATACAATGAATAGAGGAAAAGGAGAATATAGCTTAAAGCAGGGCATGATGAAAGGGGGGGGGGGGGTTCATTCTAAAAAATGCAGTTAACTGACGCCGGCAGGGCAACTGGCAAGGATACCTAATCGGGACCGATAGAGGGAGCAACAGAAAACGTCAGCGGCCCTTACGTATCTGTAGCCTTCCACAAGGACAAGTACTAACCGACTAACTAGAGTAAATGTCAAACATGTGGTTGTCACGTAGACGGAAGGTACCGAGAGAGGGGGGAGATGCCCAAAGGGCTTTAAAAGGGATACAGCTGATACATATGGCAGAGCTTCCTCCTGTACATGCTGAGTGTATGTCAGATGGCCGCTCTCGGATTGCAATCTGTCAGGGAATAAACTGGTGACCTGCAACTTCTCCACGTGTCAGCTGTGAATCTCTTGACCGGGTGGAGACGGCGTACTCCAACAAACAGCCTTTACCAATTGTGTGAAATAAACAAACAAGAAAAAATAGGCACGACGAACCCATTCCCTTTTCAAATTGGTCTCGTGAAACAGCCTAACATGCACCCTCGATGCTGGGAGACTGTTATGTAGGGTGGGGGTAGAATTAAATAAACCCCACCTCCACCGTCGCGTTTATAGCTGCAGAAAACCCGCGTAAATGGCAGAAAAGCAACGTAACGTTTCATTATAAGGATAAACCCCAAATAAATATTTCGCTTACTAGAGTTTACAGTCAAGGAAGGCGTGCAATGTTAATTTCGGCTTTTCATCACCTACACTGATCTGAAGTGTGCTCTTTGTGTTCACTGGTGTAAACCCCAGTAAAGGGGGAAGCGAGAATAAACGTGCGAGTCACATCTCCAGCGGAGCTGCACTTCCACCTTTCAGCCAGACAGAAAGTGCAGGCTGGCCGACGAAGGGACGCGGGGCTCCCGATGACACCGTAACCTGATCACGCCGCTCATGGCTGGATGAGATCCCCTAGTGTCCCATTACGAATACGGACAAAACCTAATACTCAGGAAGAAAAAAAAGAACGAAAAACGTTCTCACCTAACGCGATGATAACATCTTAGAAACGAAACACTCCTGGAAAGGTAAGCGAACGCATTGACTTATTGACTTCACTTTACTGATCACAGCCTGCGATCATTTGTTAGTAGTAAAATGGTTTACTACAATATACCTGTGTTGGAGATTCTGTATTGGATAAAAATGTCATAATTAGGCCTATATTCGAAATTATTCGATATAACAAATATATTAATATTTGGTTTTAATTGTGTGCGAGGTATATTAGTAAACAATTCATTAATTCGTTGGTTGAGTACTGTTAGGTTGGGAAATGCATGTATTAAGTTCTCTCCAACAGTACCAATAATACTTTTCTTGGTATGGTACCTTTGGTGTGATCATGTACACTGCGCCCGCCAGTGCCAGCTGTAGATGGAGATGATGTGCGAGACGGATCGTTTTCGGCTTTAACAATCAGAAAGTTACTTCGGCTCCTTATCTTTCATAGCTTTGCACGGCAGCAACATGGACTTTAATCTAAACTGGAGAAAGTAAGGAAAACGTACAAACGTACACTGAACCAATGCTTGGCCACTGGTTTGGTAGTTTCATCAAGTTCATCTGGTTCTGTGGCATACAGACAATAGCAGGTAAATAAAAAATGCATATGTATGTATGAGTGTGTGTGTACTGGTGTATATCTCAATTAATAATGGGTTTAGAGATTTTCTGTAAGCCTAATTAATTCTTGATCTCTAAGAGTCAATAACGCCATTAATGCAGTAAAAGCCCTAATTAAAAATCACTGTAAGATTAAAAAATACTTTACGATGGCATATTAATTTTTTCATTATATCTTTCTTTTTTCCTGATCCTATAAAGTTAAGCCGCAATGTATTTATGATGGGCCACATCACAGTATGTAGCCAACACAGAATGAAACTCCGCTTTTTCGGAAGAGCAAATTAAATTTCACATTTTTCAGGTTTAGGCCTAACAACAACGGAACACTATTAAGCAATGAAGAACATGTCAGAAGATGTATTTTGATTGTCCAAAACCCCTTTCTGTCATTTCTAGCGCAAAAACCATGCGATGCAGTATCGGAACTGGGCCCCTTTGTCCAAATGGGCTCAAGCTTTAAGGTTTACTGCGTCTTTCGCAACGTCGCAAATCACAACTGCAAAAAATCTATCCATCTGAACAAAATCCAGATACATGACTCCTTTGAGCACAATTCCACTGCAATATTTGTAAATATAAATAATATAATGGAGAACAGGACATACACTTGCAAGTGTGCATGCTGTACGGATCCTTGTGGACTCGATCTGCAGGTTGGATGTAAGTAAAGAAGTTTAAATGAAATAAGTTGGAATGCAAATTGACGATACACAATTTAACCCTTTTAAACTGAATATGTAGAATTAAAAATGTAACTTAGATTGTAAAAGGAAAGCATGTCCAAGACGTGAGTATGCTGTTTGAAACAAATCTTAAGGTCTGAAACAGGAGAAAATAATATTTTTGAGCTGATAGAGAAACTAAGTGCTCAACTTATAGGTGGTTTATTAAGTGTCAGGCAGAGAAAACCGCTAAAAAAAGTGGTGACTGGAAATTGCTACTAAGCATTGCGAGAGTACAACCTGAAAAACCCGAAGAGCACCATCGTATACACAGCTGGCGTGCGTACGAAACCACAGCATCTAAGAAAGTTGCCTTTGCGTGTTTTATAGATCTACCTGACGTACCTCAGGACGTGTCATGTAGCCTGAGCAGAAACGTCGGAAATATCACGTGTACATGGACGACGGGAAGAAAGACATACCTTAGAACCACGTCGACGTTATGGTGGGTATCCACATTCTGAAGTTATTGAAGTGTGACAATGATAACCAGATGTATTGGCACTTTTACATTATGCGTTACTGCCTCTGCCATTTTTGCATTTTATTCCGATTCCACGTATTAACCGAGACGGTGATCTGCTGGCTTCCAGGGTGAGACCGCAGGGCCACAGCGGCGGCGCGCATCCCGTCTCCGTCCCCGGCTTTGACTCCGTCACTTTCCCAGCCTTCGGTGTTTGGCCGCATTACTCCGTGTGGGTCAATGTGTCAAACAAACTGGGCAGCATCTGCTCTCCTCCGCTTAATCTCACCCTCAGTGACATCGGTAGGTGGTGATTGAACACGGAACCTGAACACCATCTCAACATGCATTTAAACAAATAATGAAGAGCGTTTGTCGTCAATTCACATATTTGCCGATTTTATTCAGTGTCAGCGGTCGAGCTATAAAAATAGTTAATGGGGGATGATACATCGGACATCCCCGATGATACAATTTGGCAGAAGGTGGGTCGGGGGTTACTGTGGATTGGACACACGGTCCGAATTAAATTGTTTTGGTCCGGATAATTGAGAATGTAGTGCAGGTTAAGATACGTTTTCTATGAGAATTTAAAAGCAAAAAAGTGACAAAATGACTGCTAGACAAAAAAGTGAGGAAAAAATGAGCCTTCCAAAGAACACGACTGAGTGTATGTCTTAATCACAGATATAAAAGAATAAATAAAATGAAAGAAAGACTCTTGACAATATTATCATTCGTCTGTCTCTTCAGTGAAGCCTTCACCGCCGGACACCATCAAGGTGAGCTGTGCCTCTCGCCAGTGCGTCCTGCACTGGAGCTACGAAGCAGATATACAGCTCCACCAGGTCAAGTACAGGCAGCACCATGGAAACTGGACGATCCGTCCCATAATTGTAAGCACCAAGGTGTTTCGATGAGACATGAAAAAGGCATGGGGCTCTCTTATTTACTAAAGACAGGCCTAAACTGAAAGTAAAATGAGGAACCCTTTATGAAAGCGCAGCTAAATGTTTTTGAGATCCTCTTTCCCACGTGAACTTTTTACACCATTAGATATGGTGTATCTAATATGGTGTATCGAATATGTACTCCCTGGGAGAAACAGGACAGCGCGGCTGGCGGCTGTACCATCTCCGATCTGCAGCCCTACACGGCGTACGACTTCCAGATCAGGAACAGGTTAAGCCCCAGCCAGGGACTGTGGAGCAAATGGAGCGCAGTCATACCCGACAGGACTGATGAAGAAGGTACTTCCCCCCTCGTAATGTTAATGGTGTTTACGAAGCGAACCGCCAAGGGTGGAGAATATCGAGCAAAAAAAAAAAAGTATGAATAGAACTGGAGAAAGAAATGGGTAGAGATTTGCAAAATATAGAGATTTTAGAATCAAATAATGATGTTTATTTAATAGGCCTACCTCTAGTGGTTTAAATTAAGGGGTGGCTTTGCCTGGCATCAAACACGGTAGCTTTGTCCGCTCGCACCTCTGGGGTATCGCCCGGCAGCTGGGAGCGCAGCCTACAAAGCGCGAGGCATTTAGCGGGCCGACCGCCGCTGGCATTAATGACGGTGGCAAATTGTCTCGTACATGCCAACCCCCCCCAGCCAGCACGTGCATCGCCCCCAGCGCATGCAGGATCGGCGCTGTTGGGCTTTCGGGGGAAGAGCAGGGGGGTCTGACTGACTGCAGCGTGAGCGCACCGCAGCCCAACTCTCCTTTCGTTATAACGTCTTACCCAAGCCGGCATTTTGGGTTGTGTGGGCTGGAGCCTTTGTTTTTACACCTTGCTGCGGGTGATAAAATTAACTTAGTACAGAATTGCATAATTGGTATAACTTATGCATATTTTTTTCTTCTTAAGCTTTTTCTGTCTCTTGTGAATTTTGTTAGAGGCAGAGTCACCTGCGTTGCTAAAAGTCCGTGCTACCCAAGCGTGTTTTTTCAGCCGTGGGAGAAAAGGTCTGCGGCCGTGTGTGTGTGAAGGGGAGGTTATGGGTTTTTTATGCAGAAGACAGTGGTGTGATTTCAGTATTTCTGCCCGTTGCAGCGCCGATTCGTTTAGATGTCTGGTATATTGAGGAATCTTTCAGTTCTGGAGAGAAGTCACTCACAGTGCTCTGGAAGGCAAGTATTTCTCAGTCCGACCTGTCACATGTCTAGTTAATACATGCAAAACGGACATCTGATCCCCAGCAAATTTACTTGCTAATTACAGACAGGCGCACATGTCAATCTATGGAAAAAATGTGCAAAGACGTTCATAAACACTACTCTACTCGAAAATGTGCAAAAATGTTCATCAAGGTATAAAAAATGCTTTTCACATCTAGGAATGCAGTACTTAACAGCACAACAGCTTTTAACAATGAAACTGAAAAATTCAGGTTGGAAAAAATGTAGATTATTACTGTCACTGACACATCGACAAGACTGCAGAGGGGAAATACCAAAAAGAAAAAAAACAAAAACAAAAAACAAGTGATTTTTATAATGGTAAATGTCAGACGGCTTGAGATGTCTTCTGTAGTTCACTCTTTAACCCCATATATGTAACAGCTTTGTCATCCATCATGTGTGATAATGAAACCAGCAGCAGTTTCAGTGTACCCTCAAAGAAAGAAATGAAGTTCTATTTAAAAGAAATGAAGAAGTCAGGCCCCCCTAGCCACCACCCCCCCCCCCCCCATTAGGGATTCACTATGTTTTTCTTAGAGATCAGTGTTTCCCAATCTGGTCCTTGGGGACCCGCAGTCAGTTCACGTTTTTAATGGAGCTGGGAGGGAGCAAAAATGTGGGTTGTTGGGCAGGGAGTTTGTAGGGAGCAAAAACATGGACCGAGTTTGGGTTCCCGAGGACTGGATTGGGAAACGCCGGTCTAGAGAACCAGCTGTCCAGCTGACCAGATTCTTAAGTTCTTTATGAATATTATCTATTATCTATAATTACCTTATTTTTGTTACTGTATTTTTGATGTAACTTGTCAACGCAAAGCTCTCGGCAACCAGTTCTTTGCATTTAGAATCATTCTGGGGCACGTTTGCAGGAGCTCAGCGAATCAGAAGCCAGAGGGAGGATTCTGGGATACAAGCTGAAGGTCGAAGGTTTCTCAGCGAGGGGGGTCAGAGAATACAACACCCCCAGCAACCAGACCAGAGTGAGAGTCACCTGCTCCTCCTGCACCATCTCCGTGACTGCCTTCAACTCCAAAGGTCACTCCCCCCCAGCCCTTATTAACATCCCTCAGCAGCGAGGTAATGGCTCATTATGTGACTGTTGCCACGTTGCCGTTTGGCCTTGAATTCGGTTTAACTCATCGAAATGGGGGATAGGAGGATGGAATAAATATGTGAAAATGTTGTCTGAATACCAGATTGATTGGTCAAGCAAGAATTCTGTATTTCTTTCTGGTTTAGGTTTGACCTTTCACCCCTCATTTGTGTGTGAGCTTAGTGCCGCAGCCCCTGTGAGTGTAGAACTCCCTACACTCAATATAAAATAAAGACGTCCTTCATTTAGGAGATGCTGAAGCAGCATAGTTTGAAGCTACCAAGTTATCTAGCTATGATATTCTGACTTTACTCACTAGCTATTTTTTTTTCGTTTTCGAAAGATCTGAAGGGAGGGGGCAAAGTGATTTTTTGAGTGGGATCCCAGGAGCGGTAAACCTGGCCCTGATCATCTGCCATGTTCCTCCCCAGCTGATCCCCCTCAGAATGTGGTCTGCCAGCCCCTCAGTGATCACAGCATTGCCATCTCCTGGCAGACACCTGCTACTACAGAAACAGTGAAAGGTTATTTAGTGCAGTGGTTCACTGCTCATCTACGTGGACAGGACCTCCAGTGGAAAAGGGTGGGCCATAATGAGCTTCGCACCAGCATAACAGGTGGGCAAAGCAAAAAAAACTAAGAAATCAATTAAGACATCCAACATTTTCCTGATTACTATAAATTCTGGTCATGTGTTCCTGTTCCTGTTACTGACCTTTAACACGTGTCTTAGTTTGTTTGCTAGTGTTGCTACTGAAGGTTGTATGTACAGCCATGCAGTGACAATTCTGATTCCGATTTTCCCTTTTCACCTACCTCCAAAGAAAACATTCAGCCATTTGAATGCTACCGGGGAGCTGTGTTTGCCTTGTATGAGGAAGGGTCCGGAAAGCAGGATTTTATAGATGCACATTCTAGGGAATCAGGTAAGAGACTAGGTGTATTACTACTTTCAAAAGCATAGATGTTTGAATTTTTTTCCACTATAACCCAGTATATCTAAACCCAGTCTTCAGGGATAGTCTACATTTTTGGTCCCTCCCAGCTCCCACAACCATATCATGCAATAGAGAACACCGAATACGCTGGTACAAGTGTGTTAGACCGTCTGCAGGCCCCCCAGGACCGGATTAAAAAACGAGACTGTAACTTACTGAGAAATTGCTTGGGAGTGACATGCTTTACAACACGCAGCTCCGACACTGGGCCCGACCCCGATCACCAAGGTAACGGGTGACAGCGTGACCGTGAGCTGGAGCGGAATCCCACTGGAGCATCAGCGAGGCTGTCTGAAGGACTACATCATTTACCTGAAGAGAGAGGGAGGGGGGGAGAGTCGACACGGTGAGGAACCTGCCATGGCGATGCTCACGAGGCAGTGAGACGCTTCTCAATGTTTGGATGGTTCCCTGTAACATCTAAAGTGGTAAAAGTACTGCCAGTTAATATGCGGGTACTGCCAACATACCCAGTGTGCACTGGACGGAAATTACCATCAAAAATCACCTTTCAGTCCAGCTGAATTATTTTATATAGCAATGATGCAGGGGTGCTAACATTATAGAACATAAAGAAATATGAGTCTGCTTTTATAAATGTAAGGTGTAAACATCCAAAATGTGAACACTGAGATGCAGTTCCAGAAAGCGGGCGGATCTTGTGAGGGAGTGACTTCTGTTCCAGGTCCAGTGAAGGCCACACAGAGGATGTTCAGCATCAGTGGGTTGAAACCTGGAGAGTACAGCCTCTTAATGAGCAGCAGGACGGGTGCTGGAGAAGGTCCAAGAGGAGGTTTGGCGGCCTTTTTGATCTTACAGAGTGAGTACGCATCACGGGTGAAACTACACGCCACACAGGAGCATGCGTGGGCCGCACTAAAGCGTGCCGCTACATGCATAGAAAGTGATCACGATCTCCTTGGTCACCACGGACGTGAGGCAGACGTGGATTTGGCCAGCGTGTGGGCGGAGCAGAAATGCTCCATTCTCACAGTAACAACGGCATTTCTCAAGCTGATTCATGCTCAGTAAAGGTTCTCTCTTTTCAGATGACACAAAGGGTTTCATTATAACTCTGGCGGTTTTACTGTGCTCTTTCCTGCTGCTGGTCATTTACCTGTGTCTCACAAAAGCGAAAAGGTAAACTCCATCACACACATGCCACCATGCTGCAGAGAACAAAAACATAAGAATGTTTTAAAATGTACACGACATTTTCTGTACCCAGCTGTGTTCTGCAGACACATCCTCTCCTGTAGATCAGCCCCTTTAGAGGGGGCAGCAATGTGAAAATTTGCAAATAGCAGGCCCCCCTAACCTCAACCCATGACAGTTTGCTAGGCAAAACAGTGACATAAAAAGTCTATTAGCAATTTCTAAACAAACATTACTGTACTGTACACTTTGCATGTCAAATGGCTTTATTTCATATGCACACCTTTTTATATAATAAACAGTCTAAATCATGTCCTTGTATGTACAAAGTTACTACTGTGTGCACTGGGAGCACTGCGTTTTGGATTCATTATTACAAAAGCAAAATTAACGGCACTGAAGTTTATAAGTTACTGATAGAAATGCGAGATTCCACGGTCACAAAGACCGCTAACGTGAATGAGGCTGGTCGCCGAGACAAGCAAAGACTTTTAACATTAAGGATTTAGTATGCATTTACACTAACCAACAATATTTATATATTATATGATATTGTGTGGTAAATCCAGTATTGTTTTTGGTTTATCTGTGAGTTTGTGATCTACTTTGCAAAAATATTCCTGTTTTTGGCCAACTTGCACGTAAGCGAAACTGCAAATGTCTGATGCGCAAATGCGAAGGTGTTACTGAATAATCTCCACATATGATAGACAACAAGCTTCTTGTTGAACATTTTATCAAAGAACAAACCCGTGTAATCATTCCCAACAACATCAGAACACAAAGTCAACTAAAACTGTTTCCTAAAACTGCTGACATTCACTCTCATTAGGACACCATTAGCAACTTTGTTACCGAGATAGGAAACCAGCCGGAAACGAATCATGCTGGCGCTGTGGTTAATATGGTCACCTCACACCCGGGTTATTCCCGGCCTTGCGTCCATTGTGTCTGGGACAGGCCCCAGAACAAGTGATATAGAAGATGAATAAATGAATAGTGTAAAGCAGTGTTTCTCAATCCGGTCCTCGGGGACTAATAGTCAGTCCACGTTTTCCCTCCCACCAAGCTCCCTACCAGACAATCCACATTTTTTCTGCTTCCCATCTCTCAGAGGGAGCAAAAACATGGACCGATTGTGGGTCCCCGAGGACCGGACTGGGAAACACTGGTGTAAAGAATAAGACGTCACATTGCCAGAGCCAGTCCAGAAGAAGAGTATAACACTAATGACACTAAACATTATACTAAATCCTTGAATTGTGCGGAAGTTAAACATCCTCTGATTTCAGTCTCACGAAAACCTTGTTGCTTTTTTCAGATTTCTGCCCAAGCCCGTGCCAGATCCAGCCAACAGCAAATGGGCTAAGGAGTGCACAGCCACTAAGGTACCGTCAGAACCTGAAAACGCCTGTGCATTTCAGCCCCGCTGATGTCATACCAGATAGGGTTATTTTATTCTTCATCAGATTGTTTCCATTCACATTGTATTATATAGATAGTAAGAATGGACTGTTTGCACTCTCGTCGCTGTCCTGTGCTTCAGCATAGATGATTTTCTGTGTGGTTCCTCTGCTTTAGGGTGAAATGACGCTGGAGTTGCATCTCAACTGCTCGGCTCTGGACAAAGAACCCCACACCGTGGAGATCGAGGAGATTGAAGAGAAACAGGCTTTGACTGTCATAGAGGAACCTGGTGATTTGTCTGCTCCAGAGGGGAGTTCCAGCGAGATGCCCACGGCACTAGTGACCTGCGCTGTCAACCAGATCAAGCCAGTGTGCTCTTACATCAAAAGTCTTTCCCACGAATCGGATAACTCTGTCCAGACAGAGCTGTCTACAGTCACAGATATAACTGTTGACTATATCTCCTCAAATGGACTGTTGGACATGGACTGCGAGATGCTGGGAGATGATGTGGTGGAAAGCGATTTCTTCCCAAGCTTCCAGAGTCCCTTCTCAGAGCCTTTAGTGTCCTTTGGGGGCAGGTTGACCCTAGACAGTGTGAAGATGGACTGGAATGGACTATTTAACTGAAACCTAGCTTAACACACAGACTGCAATTAATAGGTGTATTTATATGTGATAATACACAACCTGCAAAGTTAGGTCCCTTATGCTGGAGAATTCAGAATGCTTGTGTTTTTATTTTAAGTCACCCTGAATTTTTACCTCACATTTGTTTATAAAGCTAATCAAGCTGGCTATAGGATTACCCCCCAACCCCACCCCACAAAAAAAACCCCTCAGGAACAGGATCGGTCTGCATTGCCCGATATCACCCAATGAGAAGTGTGCTATTGCACTGATTGGTCTGATAATCAGCCCCACCCATCCTGAGTTTATTTCTTATTGCTGTAGTGTTCACCACCAAACTTTGCATTTCTGCTGGGGCCACCTGCTGGCCAGAAAGTTACTACACTAATTATCACACACTCCTTATTTGGGATATGCAGTACTATGTTTTAACTAGGGCGGCACAGTGCTTCACAGCAAGAAGGTCCTGGGTTCGATCTCGGGTCCTTTCTGTGTGGAGTTTGTACACTTTCCCCGTTTCCTCACACGGCCCAAAAGCGTTCAGGGTGGGTTGATTGGCGAGTCTAAATTGGCCCTGTAATTGGGCGTGGGGCCTGGGTGACCGCACAGGCCTGGTTCCTGTCTGTGCCCCATGTTCCTGGGATAGGCTCCGGTGACCCCATTAAGTGGTGATGGATGGATGTTTCAGCCAATTAGAATGATTGTGACTTTACTCACTTTTTTAAAAAAAAACCTCTAATTAGAGGGGGGGGGGCTCCTAATCATCATAACATATATAATAGGGATGCACCGATCCGATACCTATATCGGATGTCGGTCCGATAATGGCTTAAATAGGTGGATCGGATATCGGTAGCATTTCACGCTTGCTATGCCAACAAGTTCCACGGCTGTTTGCAATATCTGCAGGGAGGCAGCAGCACTGCAAAGTACAACACGAGCAACTTAATGAAGCTCCTCCAGAAGCGTCCGGCCAAAGAGTGTGAGGAGCTCAACAAAACAAAACCAGGGGAATGTTTGAAGCAGTTAACGCTACAGGCAGCATTGCAAAGATGCGAGAAACTGCCCTGCAATAGTGTAAAAGCGACAAAAATAACAGAGAAGGTACTTGAACCCGCTTGCAGTTGTAGAAAAAGAGGGATTCTGCTGCCTGATTGAACATTTTGAACCACGATACAATTTAACATCATGGAAATATTTTTCTGAGACCGCTCTACCGGAGCTGTACAAAAAAAAAAAAGTATGCAAACACGTACCAAAAATGATAAAAGATGTAACAGCGATTAGCTTCACTACTGATATCTGGAGCTCCAATGTCTGCCCATTAGCTTTGAGTTTAACTGCACACTGGTTGGACACGAGATGCGAGCCTCAAAGCGCTGTGTTTTCATTTAATACACTTGCATTGTTGTATACGGCAATTTTAATTCCCGAAGATTCCTGCACCTATTAGTATACTCATAACATTACTTACATTGGCATTAGACCATCTGTTACTTTACTGTTACCAGGCTGTATTATGTTAATAGTAAATAATTCTGCTTGTACATATTTGTGTGTGTATTTTTTACATTGTCTTCCAAAATTAAGTATTTAGATCAAGTGTTTAAGCCTGATGTCTCAAATATATATATAAATATAATAATCTCCATCTTCTCTGCAAAGTGCGACATACATCTTACTTACTGGTATCGGATCGGTACTCAGGATCGGCCCGACACCCAAAGCCCAGGTACTGGTATTGGAACTGAAAAAGTTCAATCAGTGCATCCCTAATATATACTCAAAAAAATCAGAGATTGAAATGCTGCACTATACTTTAAAAAGTTCAGGAGTGTTATACATGACATGCACACAAACCTGGAAAATGACCTTAAACACGCTTAGCCTGACCAATTTTTTTATATGCAGGGTATGAAACCTGAGTATTTAAGATGACCGCAGCAGAAAGCCTAACGATGATTAAGGCACAGCATCAGATGGAGGAGTTTGGCAAATTGTACAAGCAGAAAAACGGTGAATATAAGAGTGTTCACTTTTATGGAGCATTTAAGATTTCCCAAACTTCCCTAAAATAAAGGTCATAATCCAAGATGACACAAACTCTGAAAAATGCTCAGGCTGAGACAGCAATGCTGCAGACATTTCATCATTAAGAACATTCAAGACATGAAAAATTACGCAACACTAGGCTCCACCAATGGCAGGAATCACCTCTTGGCAGTTTATTGGAACAGGGATGTTTTGCAAAAATGGGTTTCAGTTCCCAGAAACCCAAAGTTGCCTGGACCCAACAGATCTACAGAATGGAAGCGGGCGGGAGAAATCTGTGTGTACATCGCCAGCGACTTTTCAACACTGAACACAAAAGGTACGGCCAGCTTACGGTCATGTCGGAAACATCACCATGGTAGCAGTGTGCACCACAGCGTACAAGCCAATCAGATGTGGATAGCAGGGTTAGAGGTCATGCTAATTGTAGGCACTCGCGCCGTACTGAGAGCAACATGCATTTCTTTCAGAAAAAGTCTTGTTTTGCTGCTGTAGAAATCAGAGAACAACCAAGCTGAAGACCAAGATATGCGTAACAAATCACCCAAGCTTGTATTTCTGACACCAAAGGCTTAAAACAACGTTTAAAATCCAAAACTACCAAACAAAATCACCACAAAAACGCTTAAAATTTAGTGGTCTTCACAATTTCAGTTGCCGAAAAGATGAGTAACTTCAGGAATCAAATCGTTAAAAGACCAATTCGCGCAACTATTCATTTGACGCTGTGAAACAAGGTCTTACGTTGGCCAACGACCAACAGAAGATCTGCCAGAAAGAAAACCAGGACCCACAAAACTCTACACAGGAGACTCATCAGCTATTCTTCATAAACCAAAATTAACTACTTCCCTAGCTTCAGAAACATTTAATCTGTACAAAAAAAATTAAGCAAGTCCTGGATCCGCTCTCAAACAAATACACTAAGCGCCTTTTAACTTTTTTGGTAGAGCTTGTTGGCTGGTAGACAGTCCAATTTTATCAGTTTAAAATAGTACATTTGTAAGGGAAAAACACAAGCAATTAGGACACCATAAACTTATAGTTATAGTCTTCACACCTATATTTGGAAATGCATATTTTCAAGCAGCAATACAAAATAGTATCTGTGAAGAATGCATAATCTCTGGAAACAAAAATCACTGTAAGAAAACAGCCCCCAGCTACCGTGTCTCAAAATACAAAACCTCTAACAATTTGCTTCAGGATAGCAAGAAGTCCATTTTTTTTCCTTTTTAAAACTTAAGTCAGTCCTCAATGTGAAAGGTATGGATGACAGTCTTCCATTATTATGTTTTTTTTTTTCTTTATTATTTGTAGCTGAAGGATCCAATAGCATGCGAGCCTTGCAGAGGAGGAGGAGGAGAGCCCGGAGGGGGCCTTCTGGGGTGGGGCGCCACTGGGTCGCCTTAGGCCAGGGCTGGGAAAGCCTCTGGATCATCCACATTAGGGGCCAATACTCCACTGGGCTGCAGGGACAAAGGAGAGAGAGATAAAACATCAAGGCAGCAGCTCTAAGACAGAAGGACCTCCACCCTTTGTTCTCCATAAAGCTAATCTGGACGGTACCTTCTCAGTGCGGCCTCCACGCGCCACCCTGCCAGCACCAGCAGCAGCAGCGCCGGCAGCACCAGCAGCAGCAGCAGCAGCACCAGCAGCAGCGCCAGCAGCAGCAGCACCGCCGGCCCCCCCGCCTCGGCCCCCCCGCCCGCCACGGGGTCCACCGCGGCCGCGACCAGGACGGCCCAGGTCTCCGAAGTTGATCTCCAGCTGGGAGGTGATGTCATTGGCCGGCTTCCGGAAGTGGTGATCACCAGCGGCGTCGTCGGTCTGGACCTGAAAACGCGACGTGCCCATCATTATTCACATCACCATCATTATTCACATCACCATCATTATTCACATCACCATCATTATTCACATCACCGTTACTGTCCTTCAGCACAACACACTGCAGTGCAAGACTGTCATACATCATACGTTTAAGACCACATAACGTTTGATATTTCTCGGTACGTACAAATATATCCTTAGTTATAATTTCTGTATTTAATACCATGTTGATTGTTATGAGTGTATGCATGTAGGCTCTTAGTAAACTAGTGTAAACCACAATGACAAATAATCCTTTGATTATATGTTATTTTAGACCCCAACAAATGATGTTGCACTTTAACGACGAGGCTTCCACAGATACAAAAGATGGAATCGAATAGCTTTGAGACACTGTTGTAAGCAGTCACAACATAAATATACTCTCCTAGAGATGTGATTTTTGTCATAAATATAGATGTGATTTACTTGCATTAAATATTAAGTTACCAGTTTTTATGCCAGTGGAAAACCAACACCTTGAAGTACCAAAAAGGTTCCTGATGCGGTGGAAACACACCATTACTTGCAGCTCCCGACAAATTTCAAACCTGCTGGCCACAACTAGAGCTGGATTTAAAATGAGTAAAGAAGCCCACTCTTCATAAATATATTACAGTTTATGAGCAGCAAGACATACCAACGCACTGTATGACACTTGTTTTGAAATACATCAACATCTATTGTACATTGATTACTATTCATATATCGTTAATTGTTCTTGTTGTAGGGTGTGCCTCAAAGGGTGGACATTCCAATGCACTTGTGCAAAGTCAAACACACCTCGAATTTAAGTCGGGATTACTTCCTAAGCCTGCGACAACACAGCTGCGCCAACAATTCTGAAGTTTGAGGCAGTTCATCGCTACAAAGTCTGACGACTTTAGAAATAAGCTACAGGACCCAGGGAAACAAATACACCAAGGCAAGACTGAAACCACAATGGTAGCTCACCAGCCTCCATGTATCTGTGCGAATCAGTGATGCTAACAGAAACTAGCAGAACAGAATGAGTGCACCGAGGGAAGTGCTACGGTAAGCAGACGTACGTCTTCGCTCTTGGACTTGTGCAGCACGTATCCCTTCTTCCACTGGCTGTCAGCGCCCTCATTGGCCTTGCGGATGTTGAATTCGACCTTGGCTCGCTCCTTGTCTTGCATCGCCTTCCACTCATCCAGAGTCATCTCTTTGGGTCCTTCGGGTTTGACCTCCTCAACCTCGTTCTCTCTGGAAACATAAGACAAGCGGTTGGGCAAGCAGAGCAAGCTACCGAAAAGGCCAGAGGGCGTTTTGGATCAGAGAGGCGACTCGCGTGCCGGTTTCACAGGGACATTAGGGGGGGTCACGCACTTGTTTTCGGAGTCAGCAGGGGGGTGTTCCTCGCCTTCACGGGTTTCCTCAGTGGTATTAGATTGATCAAGCTCGCTGCAGAATATAAACACAAAAAATGAACCCAAAGACGACTCATTGTATTTTTTTTTCTACATGGGTTGTGGAAAAAACAGTATTAGACAACTGCCTATTCAATCGTTGGCCAATTCAATCGTTGGCCAATAATCCAGTTATGACACCATGCCCCCAGCTTCTTTACCACCAATATACCATGGGGGCAGGTTAGGACTTTGAGATCAGAAGGTTGCTGGGTCAAGTAATTTGCAATTGAGCAAGGGCCTTAACCCCAGCTGCTCCAGTGACTGTCTGACCCACCTTAACTCATCCTTGACAGTGCCCCAGTTATGAGATCCACTCCCGCCACGCTTCTCTTCGGCTTTGAGGCTACTGAAACCAAAGCGAAGGGGGTATTAGGCCGGCCGCGGCTCTGTGAAGCGGGAAGCCCCGCCGGCGCATCTCGCGGACGGCCAGGCAGGCGACGACTTACGTCCGATCGCTGCCGCTGTGCCTGTCGAACTCCCGCTTCCCGCGAGAGTCGAACCCGTCGCCGCGGCCCATGCCACGTCCTCGGCCGCCGCGTCCACCCCGGCCACCACCACGTCCTCGCAGAGGCCTTTCTCCTGCAGGCCTGCTGGGAGAGGCAAGGGGGGGGGAGGGGGGCGGGGGGAGACGCTCAGTACCAGAGAGCACCAAGGCACCGCAAGACCCACCTGGGTACAGAAGACTGCGGTACCAATGCACACAGCTGAGATCGGCAGAAGAGATGCATCACTGCTTGGCTCCTAGGAAACACCCTTAACCCCAAAATTGCCCCAGGATGCGAGATAAAGGTCTAATTCTGCACCTGATCCCTCATTGCGACTCATTCTCACTCGTGTATGTATGCAAGATGGGACATGCAAAAACAAATGAATTCCTAAGTGCACATACAAATAAAGACAATGAAGGACTATAATAAAACATACAGTACTCATAATACATAAGCTTCCAATAGCATTTACAATTTTCCTGAGTGCACAAAATATTACTTCTCCCTCACTGAGGACATCTTCATGTAGCCAATCAGAGACTTTAGGTTCATGGGGGCACGGTACCAACCCCCCCCCCCCCAGCTTATAGGGCGGACGCTGCAAAACATGCAGCAAAACCTTACAGAGGGGAGAAACCGGTTCACTGAGTGTATACTAAACGTTAAGAAATGTTTGGTTTTGAGGTACAGGGGCCACAGACG